CATATTTGAATTAAACATCAAAATTAAACAATGAAATAGTTGATTAATTAAACAAAATCAAGACACAGAAATAATAACTGAAGTGTGTAAACTAGTTTTTACATCTACGAAAAGAAATTAAACAAAAGTCTTATGCATGTAATTCAGGTCGCTGAATAAACTGATTAGATAATTAACATAAAAATTAACGATTAAAACAAAAGATTGAAAAAAACAAGAAAAACAAACAAATCAGATTGTAGTGGTACTGGGGTTTCCTTACTGCTTGAAACGTCCTACTGGTTATTTGTGTGCCGGGATGGGGAATGCAACGGGTACTTCATAACTTTCTAACCCAATGACCTGATACAGAACTTCAAAGGATGCAGTGTCTTTGAAACCCAATAGTAAATACAGTGAAAAACTACGTATGTCTTTTGACACCAATATGTCGTGAAATACTACCTTTATGACACCATTAAATCTGACCTAATAGATGTTACTGGCCTACATATATGTCATGACGTCATATCAGCTATCAATCATCTGTTGTCACGGCAACGGGATACGTATTGCTTGATAGAAACGTGGTATTCTGTTCGTTCATCACATTGCATTTCAAATAGTCCAGCTGAAAAATTATGCACTTTTGTTTAAAATTACCAAATATGGCACACATGTAGTTAAATGTGGCCATCTAGTTTTCTGGCATTTTTTTTGCTAGTTAAACTAAAAATATTTTAGTATTAATATTTGGATATTTTGGGCTCCTGTGCCATGATATATGAAGCAATTATGATTAAATCTGGCACAGACATGTAACTTAGCGATTCCAATGCAACACTCATATCAAGTGTTGACTGCTGTATTGTTCTCTCTTGAAAAATTAATTTTTTAGTTATCTTTACAAAAAAAATTCAATTTTAGGCTTCTGTGTCGTGATGATTAAAGCAAGAATGCTGAAAGTTGATATGAACCCATGATTTAGTAATCCTCATATAATGTTGAACAATTATACAGAGTACCTTATTAATCTTCCGTAAAAATGGCCCTTTTTGCAATTTTTGCCAAAAAAAAGTTCATGTTTAGTTCTCAGGCAAAAGTGCATCATTCGGCTGATTTATTAAAATTTTTGCCAGCTATGCCGCTGGACTACATTCTTTATTCTTTAATATTATTCAAAACGGTGGTCAGCATAGGAGCAGCAGTACATAAAAAAATTATGGACCGCTGAATTGTTCTGACCTCACATATAATACATAAAAATACAACGTAGGTACAAACAGAACATACAGATTCACGACAATTACACAATGTACAACACAAAAAACTAAGGCCACACCAATTTAATTTCTTGGTTAACGGATTTGTCTAGAAAAATAATGGAGCGGGCGGGCGAAAAAGAAATAAAAACAGGCCTAGGCATCCTATTATGGCCCAAAATGGTATGATATGAGCCATGAAGTTAACACACCAGGCTGGTTCAAAATTTAAACAATGAATTTTGAACTTTTAATGATACCATTGCATTGAAAGATGGAATAACTGTAACAAGTAGGAAAAAAAGGGACTGTTTTCAACTGTTCAGGGCAAAATATGAGCATTTTGCAGTTGATTCTGAATTTTTATTTTTATTTGCAAGTCAGAAAAAAATGAAGCGGGCGAATCCGTTAACCAAGAAATTAAATTGGTGTGGCCTAAGTCTACATCTGACTGTTATAGAGTCTGATAGTGTGATGCAGAAATGAATTCTGCAGTCTTTTACATGTGCTACCTAGCACGCTAGAAACTACTGCTCTGTCAACAAATGACGAACTGGGGTCGTAAGATTCTGAAGAGGCCATGGAAGAGACATATTGTTACATCAATCATGTACATCTGCAAATGGTTTTATCGTAGGATGTATGATGATAGTCTTCTATCCTCTGCCTTTGATGGAGACGTTGTACAATAACAAAGCAATATGGCCAAGAAGATTTACTCTTACTTTTAAAGTAAGACCGTAAAAATAGTTTGTCTCACGCCTACTCCTACCCTTATAGGTAGCATATCTGTCATATTGCTCTTACAGTGCATTACTCGACAAAACCTAAAACAATCACAACATACGGACTTTTCAGTAACTTTCGATGTGACGCCACTGCGATAGTTTTTTTTAATTCAGTTTCTAATAATAGTTTACCACAGAACAACAGGAATGTCTCACGTCTACTCCTACCCTTATAGGTAGCATATCTGTCATAGCTCTTACAATGCATTACTAGACAAAACCTAAAACAATCACAACATACGGACTTTTCAGTAACTTTCGATGTGACGCCACTGCGACAATTTTTAGAGTTTTTTTTTTTTTTAATTCAGTTTCTAATAATGGTTTACCACAGAACAACAGTAATATCTCACGCCTACTCCTACCCTTATAGGTAGCATATCTGTCATAGCCCTTAATCGACAAAACCTAAAACAATCACAACATACGGACTTTTCAGTAACTTTCGATGTGACGCCACTGCGACAATTTCTATAGTTTTTTTTTTAATTCAGTTTCTAATAATAGTTTGCCACAGAACAACAGGAATGGACAGACCTGCTTCTAACCGACTGTACGCTATGCCTGGTGTAGGGGAAACACCCAAATGAAATGGCCAGTCTTTGATAATGTCCCATTTGTTCACCTTATTTACTTCAGAGGGATTATCTTTACTGCTCACTACGTGGTGACCGTGGTCATATCCCAGGCCATTACATGGATGGAGACGCTTGCGTGGAATACTAAAAACTGTAGAACAGGCACTTTAAGTGCCCATCATTTTGATTTTTTTCTGCTGTATATAAATGTGTTATGAAGCAAATAACGGAAATCATAGTTCAGGTTATCATATAAGCAAAGACTACTTTTTCAGGACACAAAATTTTGATACAACTAAAGAGTAAAATAAAGATCTAGGGCCTTGGCTTGGCAAATAAGTTTCGTCCAGCTTCTGTGTTTGTTTTTATGTTTGTTTATTTGTTTGTTTGTTTGTTCATCTAAACGACTTATATGCTTAATTTCACACGCAGCCATTTCAACGACGATGACTTCCTTGTGGTTGGAATACCGCCATTAAAAAGACGTGCATTGGAAGAAACAAACAGGGGGAACAAACAACACATACATAATGGTACTACTAGTATTACCTGTACAGCCGCGCCACCTGTCATATGACAAGCAAAGTGCACTTCTACAGCAAAATGGGTTTGGAATTATATTACCAAGATTCCGTCCAGCTGGCTTTTATATGCGACATGAAATTAATAAAACGGAAACAACAATTGCCTCTAGCTACAATATATATCTACTGAGACTATCCACATAAACACTTGTACCTTTAGTGCCCTACCAGTGGTAACATATTACCCTGCCATATCATGGGCTCGTAAAATGTGGCAGCCTTGGGGTATTTGTGTTGCTGTGCGGATATTACTGCCTGCAAACCCATTAAAAGATATGGGATGTATCTGATAAGGCCACAGCAAGTAAATTTTATGGATGACATCAGCGCGCGCATTAATTTTCGTCTGATTTTGGAAAAAAAAACAAGAAATTTTGTTGCCTTCTGACAGTGGTCAACATGCCGAAAATTAGCAAAAATGTCTGTTGTCATGCTGGAAGGTGGATGGTAGATAACTATGAAGAGAGGAGACAAAAAAAGGCTCTGATTTAATGTTTTGTTTCTTACTTTGATGCAGTCATATGTGATGCTGACTGTGTATATGTGATGTTCGCACTGAATCAAAACCATTTGTACAATGATTGCAATTGGGTCAAAATTTTAAACTGTAGGAGCTTTGTTTTTTTCGGCCCGCCTTGTTTTGTTTTCGCCCGCTCGCATTAGATTTGGAGTCTGCGGAGGATGTCATCCATAAAATTTACATGCTGTGGCCTAAAAGCGACCACATTCTAACAGTACCCTTTATCTGGTGTTCTAGCTACGTGGGAACGAACAAATGTGTTATTTGCACTAGAATCTTGTTTCACACTGAAATAGGAACAACGCGTTAACCTGGAATACGAAGAGCTGACTAAGTCAACTTACAGTCTTTTTATGTGAACTTTGTGTACCATAAGGCCATGTTGATTTGATTATATGGATGACATCCACGCGCGCATGAATTTTCGTCCGTTTCCAAAAAAAAAAAGTTTTCGACCATACTGTAAATCGTACAAAGCAACTGCAAAAGTAGCAAATATGTGTCGAAAAAATATTGGAGAAACGATACCAATGTCTTAGAATGCCAAAATCAATTCCAAAGGAAAAGAAGAAAATGTAAAAAAAATGAAAGATTCTAGTATTCGCCATACCATATATACTCTGTGTGTTAAGTCATTTTTTGTTCAACCTTCATGACCACGTAGAATGGACGAATGCACAAAATGGCTGCTTTATACCATGTAGCATGAAGGGTTGATTGAGGGTAAAAAAATAAGTGCCTCACATTGAAGTAACCAAAACAAACACGCATATTTACCCCGCCTGCCACAATGTTTACAATGCACAAACAGTAAAACGGATACTACAGGACCTATACACCTTTACTCAAGTTAGCTTTTGCAAAAATGTTACCATATGTAACCATATCATCACGAGGCCACACCAATTTAATTTGTTGGTTCTCCGATTTTTTAATAACAAATATTAAGCGACAGGGTGAAAAAAAATAAAACAACAGGTCTAGGCATCCTTTTTTCGCTCCAAATGCTACGATAGGAGCCATGAATTCAACACAAGGGCCGGGTTAATATTTAAACAATTTTGAACTTTTAATCAAACCACTGCATTGATACATGGGAAAAGTATGGGAACTAGGAAGAAAAGGACTTTCCTTAGCTATTGGGGGCAAGAACCAGAATCTTTTTTTTTTTGCAAATCAGAAAAAAATTAAATGAAGAGTCGAATCCGAGAACCAACAAATCATATTGGTTTGGCCCAATCAGTAAATACCACGCTAGGACCTAAAGTGGGCTAGATGTAGCACATATACCAAACGAACGCCCAAGCTACGATCGAGCTGTACAATCTGGTGCTCAGCAGCAATGGGGTACCGAGCGGTGTTACTTCTACTGACCGTGGCCAGCTTTGCTGTGGCGCAAGTGGAAGATTTAGAGTACCGTGTGACGGCCTTGGAGAGACTGGTGAGCTCTATCACCGCAGACTTCCCACAATATTTCACTCAAGATGGGACCACTGGTGAGTACCGTGGCCGATAGGGACAATTCTGCTCAACACGCTGACTTTTGTCTTCTCCACCCTGCCTTTTGTCTTCCCTACGCAAAAGTCAGTGTAGGGAAGACAAAAGTCAGTGTAGGGAAGACAAAAGTCAGTGTAGGGAAGACAAAAGTCAGTGTAGGGAAGACAAAAGTCAGTGTAGGGAAGACAAAAGTCAGTGTAGGGAAGACAAAAGTCAGTGTAGGGAACACAAAAGTCAGTGTGGAGAAGACAAAAGTCAGTGTGTTGGGCAGAATTGTCCCTATCGGCCACGGTAGTTGAGACTTTTGTTTCCTTCAACACTACATGAAAACGTTTTGTAAAAACGAGCGCTTACGTCAATTTCAAGCATAACTTCATAACTATAATCTTTATAACTACATAAACTCTAATCTAGGTGGATTGTTGTTTTCTTATTGTTGTAACATTCTTTATTTAATGTACGTAAATTCTCATTGAAATGTTGTTGGCGTCTGGTGAGTTGTTATTGTTATTGTTGTGGGTTTTTTGTCGACGGTGGTATGTGTTGTTATTTTTCTAACGAAAGACATAACAGAATTTAGATTTAGAGGATGTGTGAAATGATTATCAAAAGTGAACCTGTGTAATTATTAATATCTATATCACAGACTACTTGGAAGCAGCCGACAGTTGTTATAAGTGTGACGACGAGGTGGCGAAGTTACACGAAAGAATCTCCAACCAAACCCAGATCATATCTAAGCTAGAGAAGGCACTGGAGGCTCTCAGACTTCGAATTGAAGACCTGGTGAATCGCGTCAATGGAACAGAGAACTTCATTGGTGAGTTTAATACGTTTGTGAGTTACAATGCACATTTTAGGCTTGTTCATGTGAAGTCACCCAAACCGCGATTCGGGTAACTCACATTCCTCACATCTGGTCACGTGCCATACATTCCTTTTAAAACGTGCCCGATCACGATTCTCCGAAACTACATTCATTGTTGTTTGATGAAAACACGCTAGGTAGCGTGTCATTATTATCAGAGGTCAACGACCTGCTTGCTGATGCCCCCCTCCCAGCGTATCTCGGCCAAATGCCGACGTAGTCCCGCCAGAGGCGGTGAAGCTCGTCCTAGTACGGACACATTATTTGACCATTACTACTCTTTAAGTTGCTGCCACGTAAAATTTGGTATTGCATATAAATAAAGAAATATCACCCCGTAATTCATGACCAAGACGCAAATCGCGATGCGGGAAAACCGATTCGAAACCACCTCTAGAAGTGGCTTGGGATCGAGACGCTTTCAGTGTGATTTGGAGCGTTCAGATGGAGCCACTTGAAACCGGCTTCGGGGTAAACCACATGTAAAACGCCTTCACTGACTTTCACATGAACAGGGCCTTGCATTACACAATTACAGAGGTATTGTGGACAGAGATTGTCAGCATTGTTATATGAGATCACAAGAATGTCACACGAAAGCGTTTAGATTATATGACAGGTTTCCACCGATTTACAAGCCCAAAGGTACTCCTTTTGCCATGCCAACATTTGTAAAAGACCAGACAAATTTCAGGTCATTTGGCCCAAAACTGACGAGGTTTTGAGGTGACGGGAGAGGGAGAAGAAGAAGAAACATGAGTAATAAAAACGATGTATTTCTAGGGAATGGAGTCTAAAATATAAATACCTTAGTACATGCAATATGCACCTCATCCAGACGCGGCGGCCAGTTATAACGATCTGGCTTGGATCGCCCAGGCTTCCTGCTCTGCCCTCGCTAGATCACCCCACTGGGTCTGGGCGGTGCCTAGAGACTGTCACCATGGTGACGGAATGACATGTGACCAGGCTTGCGCTTCTATGGAGCAGAGCTTTCTAAGCGAAGTTGGAGAAGGGTAAGTTGTGATTTCCACTAATATAGCGAAATTCCGTCTTCCGGCCTTTTTAAAGATGCTCCAAAGCATTACGCCCTATACAGGCTCATTTTCACATCCGCCATGTTGGTTTACAGTGTATGTCTGTTAAACATACCGACATATCAGCATAAAAGTTCATCTGAGTTGGTAAATTATATTATGAAAAATTTAAACTGTTCTCCAACTCATAAATGTCACTCACCGGAATTTCCGCTAAATCACTCAGTCTTCCTCAGCTATCTGACCCAAATGCTGTAAACACGTGATTTTTCTACGTGTGACGTCAGCAAAGGGTTGTCTGAAGTCGCTCAACCGGGACGGGGGCGATATCGACTTCAGACAACCTTTGACCCTTTGCTGACGTCACACGTAGGAAAATCACGTGTCTACAGCATTTGGGTCAGATAGCTGAGGAAGACTAAGTGATTCAGCGGAAATTCCGGTGAGTCAAATTTATGAGTTGGAGAACAGTTTAAATTTTTCATAATGCCGACATATGATGCCGACAATAAAAAACCTTTATAGATGAAGTACTGTCCTCCCTATGGCATGTTTTCCATCCCTTTACTCATGTATGAAATGGAATAATTCTCCTGCACTCATAGCTGCAGCAATTGTAACACTTTAAAAAGACCTCTGAAACATGACAGAATGATGTTTCGGTGAAAGAATATTCCAATCATTGATGAATATATAGCTCTTCCATCTTAGCAGTGTTTTGTTAGACTCTCTAACTATTCCTTTGACCAAAATCTTTAACTTCTTTGTCTACACAGAAGAGTTGAGTGCTTCGATGCCTTCTACGTGAGTAGGACGGCCCTTGGCTTGAGAACGTACCACTATCTCCAGGACGGGGGGTGCTCCTGGCAACCAGATCATTGTGGTCCAAACTACTGCTGCTGCCGAAGATCCGACTAAAAAATACCGTCACAAGATATGCTACTTGAGCATAGTTCTGTGTACCGGTTCGCTGGAACTAGTTCCGGACTTGTGAAAATGTTTAGAAGTTCAAAAGTTCAAAAAAGAAAAATATTGAACGTTTCGAACTAGTTCCGGGCTTACAAACATCATGTCACATTCCCATTTTTTGTTCTAAACCACCAAAATTTGCGCTGCAAAATGAAGAAAACGTCATCAAGTGTCGGCCTCCGTAAATTATGTGGCCACAGTTTTGCCCAGACGTGTCCCGCAAACAACATATCTTGCTTCTTCTAAACCCTGGTAGTGCAGTGCTCGCTACAAAATTTTGCAGTAAGTAAAGATGCCCCATTTTCCATTGGGAAATGTTCACTGAGAAGTCCATTCCGTATTTTGTATTATGTCCTGGGTTTAGGTCAGGACTTACAAGTCTGGACCTAAACCTGATTCCGGACTTGGACCTGAACGTGGGTTTAGGTACACAGTACTACTTGAGCATCTGCTTTCCTGGAAGCAGTAAAACAAGGAAGCGCAAAATAGAACCATACCGTTGACTGCTTAACCGATGCTACTGCGTGTTATCTCCGTGTTATCCAATCTAGTTTTACAGCGCTAATCTGTCGTAAAGTTAGTCGTGTTGTAACCTTTAGTATCCTCCAGAGGAGAGTTACGATGGGAATCACTTGGCCAGCAACATAAAACTTCCACAAAAGGTGAAGGCTGATGTTGGACGAACCAGTCAGAAGGGCAGGCACCAGCATAAGGACATCCCATTAAAATCTATGCTAAAACCACTAGAAACAAGCACTTTAAAACACATTTACCTTTATTCCAAACCTCACGTCTTCACCCCCACTGCAAAGCTGGATTTGTCATATGTCTTTTGATACAAATATTGGAAGTTCTGGGATTTTAATGAGCTACAGCTAAAATATTGAAATGATACCAGGATTTCACCCCCTGGCAAAGTGGAACAGTCCAGAGATCAAGTATTTAGAGGTCAATGACAGGTCAAACCATGAAAAGGGTCACACTTTTTGGCCATACAATGTATTTTAAAAATAAACATTCTTCTGTCCTTCTTACCAGAAAACTGGGCCTTTGTGAGCAAAATTTGCTCAGGAAAAATTATCTAAATAATAAGTACCAAAATATATCTGCTAGTTCTGCGCATGGCAATTTGCTGGTCCCTCCCGAGAAAGTCTCATACCCGTAGCCAGGATTTTGCTTGGGGGGGGGGGTCTTCCCATTCTCTGAGGGACCAGCGAGCGCTGTAGACGCGAGTTTACTAGGGGGTACGGGGGCATGCTCCCCCTGAAAATTTTGGAAAATGAACCTTCTGAAATACATGGCATTTCCTGCGTTTTTGAGAGGATTTCAAAGAAAAAAATCAGAAATAACTTTATTAAATGACGAAGTGATCAGTTTTTTCTAGGATTCCAACCCTGCTGGTGATACAAGTCAGTCCAATTTTACAGTAAAATCTATCAGGAATACATCAAATCCACTGAGTACTGCATAAACATTATCATTGCAATATTTTGTAACAAACAAATTTGGTTTGACACTGTTAAAAACACGCAATCAACACTGTTAAAAAAATAATCAAATACAATAAGCTGCTTTGTATTTCTTCAGACCTTTATCGTTTACGTTCTTACTCTTGATTTTCGCGGTAACAACATCATCCCTTGATGTACTCAAGCCAGTAAAGTAATAAGAACAGCGAAGACGAACAGCAGCTGCCATCTGGCGGCTAAGGATTGTACTGCAGCTGACGTTGTTTGGCTCCACCTGATCTCATGATTGACGGTCAAGTCAAGATCCATGCCGGTGATGTGAAGCACCTAGAAAACAGATTTTAAACACATTCAGTGATTTCATCTTTCAAAGCAATCAACCAGTCAATAGCTAATTTTAGCTAAAACTCCCTCCTGAGTGTTTAGCTTAGGTGGGCGGAGCCCCGAAGAGAGCCCGCGCAATAAACCGATCCTGAAGCCCCGCCCACCTCCATGCAGCCACTCTCTCATTGGTCGAACCGCTAATTGCCCTTCTCTCATTGGTTGTACTGACAGGGTACAAGGGTATACTGCAGTGACTGCATAAGAATGAAACCCACCTTGTTCCGATACGTGTACCGTGTGGTGCTCACTCCGTCCAGTTGTACCTCCCCCACCGTCCTCTTCAGACCAAACACCTTCACACTACCGATAGTGGCCGTGCTGTCGGGCCGGTAGCCTTTGTGTGTGACAACCGTGGTCACACCGACCTACACAATCACACGTTTTGAAAATGGTGCAAAATGAACCTAAGAAACTCACAAAAAATTCATTTGAATTTCTTAAAGATGCTGAAGAGGCAGGCTTTTCTTAAGAAAGAAGCAAGAAAGAATGAGAGAATGTAAGAAAATAAAAAGAGAGAAAGGAAGAAAGAAAGAAAGAAAGAAAGAAAGAAAGAAGGGAGAAAGGAAAGAAAGAAAATAAAGAGAGAGAGAGGAAGAAAGAAAGAAAGAAAAAAAGAAAGAAAGAAAGAAAGAAAGAAAAAAGAAAAAAAAGAAGAACATTACCATCTTACCATATTTGCTCTTAACTCTAGCAGTAGGTAATCTCTACTCTCAATGGTGTCTGCGGATGAGAAGAAAACAAACATGTGAGGTAAACTTTATTTTGTATAATAGGCATTATAACAGAAAAGCCTTGAAGGGGAGTATATGGAATCGTGGGCTTTGACAAGAAGGATATGTAAGCTGTAATAAAAGATAGACCCACCAGCACTTTCTCCGTCGTCCCAAAACAATTGACCTTGTGCTAGCTCGTCATCATTTAGCACGACCAACATTTCAAACTTGTTCTGCCGGCTGAAAAATCAACAAAAATGTTAGAACATCTTCAGAAACCATGCATTACGTTGTTTCTTGTAAAATGAACCCTACTTATACCGTATTTCTACAAGTGGCAGAAAGTGATTTTAGTATGCTTTCGTTGTAGGGAATGTGTAGATTTTCTTTTTTTTTATGTTTACCGAAGGAAAACATATTGTTCTTGCTCTGTTTCCTCTTTTTCTCCAAACCAATAAGGTCAATGATTTTTATCACCATGGTAACATGTGTTGTTACATCATGTTGCAATTTTATAGCAGGAGGGATTTAGACTCCTGTCTGACCATATATATGAATGTGTTTGGGTAAGAATTATCAGAGCAGACCATATATGCGAGGGTAAACTTTGCAAATGTTACATTTCCATTTTCTATTTCTTCTAGATGACAAATCTAAAGGCCACAGTACCACAGTACTAATCTTGCCTTGATTGTGTGTTAGTTGCGGGCTCCTGTGTTGGGATGATATACCCGCCCCGCACGTGAAGCGGGATACAGTCCATGTCACACGGTATCGTCATGTTACTGCCGCGGCTAGAGGCACTGACTTCGCCACCCTGCGGAAAAGGATGGAAACACATGTCGACATCACACCAAGTAATTTTTATAGATGACGTCCGCGCGCGCATTGATTTTGGCCTGTTCTCAAAAAAAAAAAAGAAATTACGCTTCTTGTAAGTATGACCAAAGAGTCACGACAGTGAAGATGTGATGAAAGGAAATTAAATAAACAGGACAAGACGACAACTGCTCTTCCACTGATTTATTACTGTTTTATGACAAATAAAAGACTTGTCGGTTGTTACACTGTGCTCTCTCATTCAATTTGTGTCCTAACATTTGTCGTCCTTTAGTATATTTCATATCTTTGTATCTTATTTTTTGCCCTTCTTGTTTATTTTTCGCGCTCTCGCATTAGATTTAGGGTCTCCTGAGGACGTCATCCATAGAAATTACTTGGTGTGGTCCTTTCTTTAAAATAGATCTGAGTAAAAATAGCGTGCAATCATAAGATACATGCGGTTGTTTTTCATCATACGCTTGCATGCATGTGCGCGGCTTACCGTGTAGTAGTCAAACCACCTGACATCGGGCATGTATGCAGTCACACTGGTGGCGCCCTGGGTAGCATCAAGAAAGAGATATAATCATGAAAGTTAATCTTTGTTGGTAGTTACATGTTTGGAGTTATAACTTTAGATCCAACACAAAAACGTTCTCTCACCTAGAGCTTTTGACCAGTCACTCTGGTCTTCCTCAGTAGACTGACCCAGTGAGGCTTCTTGTCACGTGGCTTCTTTGAAGTGTGACGTCAACAAAGGTATCTGGTAGACGATGTTGGCCCCCGTCGCGGTTAAGTGAAGGGTGATGGGCCCTGTGCTGATGTAAATAGCCTTCTTAACCCCTCTCAGGAAATAGTCTTGTTCAGTGTCCAAACTGTCACATATCAAAGAAGCCACGTGACAAGCCTCACTGGGTCAGTCTACTGAGGAAGACCAGAGTGACTGGTCAAAAGCTCTGGGTGAGAGAACTTTTTTGTGTTGGATCTAGAGTTTTAACTCTAAACAAGAAAGAGATATATCAAGGTTATCTTTAGAACGTGAAAACAAAAATAATTCCCAGTTGTAGAGAATGAAGTGTCTCTATACGTACCTGTTCCAGTACCGGAGAGATGAGGAGGGCTGGGCCCCACAGGAACTGTCTGTCAACCGTCCAGGCGTTTTTATCGGTGCGGAACCTGTCCAAAAAATGTACAAACACAACTGGAATAAAACAACCTTCGATTTTCGAAGAAACAGCACAAAAAAGGGAACAGAAACAAAACTAGAAAGGTAACATTTGCAAAGCAAATGCATAATGTTTACCTTCGGATGTGGTCTGCTCTGCTAATTCTTACTCAAACCCATTCATATATGATGACATGAGTCTAAATCTCTCCTGCTATAAATTGCAACATGATGTGACCCAACACTAGTTACCATGGTGACAGACGTCTGGTTCACGTCATTGACCTTATTTGTTAGGAGAAGAAGAAGAAACAGAGCAAAAGCAATATGCTTTCCTTCAGTAAACATAACGAACAGATAATAATGATAAAAGAAATTTAAGTAACTAGAAAAACGGCGGATCATAATGGAAAAAAACAGTGCCAAAACGATTTCATAGCCTTCTGTCGAAGGCAATTAAAAAAAAAACCTACTCGTGCAAGAGCGGGCGTACAACAGTAGACCCTTGAGTGTGAGCCTGGTAGAACAGCGTGTAGAGGTAGGGCAGCAGGCGGTAACGGGTCAACAGGACTGCCCGGGACGCCTCCGCAAACTCCGGACCCCATGCTGACGGATCTTGTTCCTGATAATACAAAGTGTAAGCTGTATGTTGTGTTTTGTTTTTTTATTAAAAAGTAACTAGTCAGTGAAAAAATTTATTGTGTATACTAACCAGTAGCCTCTACCGGGCTTCGGCTGGCGGCTGGAAAGAGTAGCTTTGCGAAATAGAAAGACTAGAAAAGTAACATTTGCAAAGCAAATGCATAATGTTTACCTTCGCATATGGTCTGCTCTTTTAATTCTTACTCAAACACATTCACATAAATCCCTCCTACTACAAAATTGCAACATTATGTAACCCAACACCAGTGACCATAGTGAGAGACAGTCTGGTTCGGTCAATTAACAAAGAAAAGCATGGTCTACATACATGTAGACACACGGTTTAGGTTTCTGTATAGCCTGGTATCCAGTCTTATCGTTGTTGGGGCGGCTTTTCCTCGGGGCTGCAGGAGCTCTTCCCCGCCCGCTTCAGCTAAGTTTCCCGGTAGATATTTTACGATGGGAGATTGATTAGCCCCATCGTGGTGCCATCTCTATTAGCGTAACACTCCTACCGGACGGCCTGTTGTACTGGGCGGGTGGAAACTATTAGAGCCCCGAAGACACAATCTGCCCCAACTACTATGACCCAACCACGATAAGACTGGATACCAGGTTAGTTTATATACTGACCGCTATGACGTCTTTCTGGTTATGGTTACGGCTGTAGGGATAAAACGCTCCGAGCTGCATCCAGCGCCAACACATCTCCCGCTCAGGCTCTCCCCAGAACCCACAGATGTCAGCACCGATCTGACCAGGACACAGAATAACATCAAATAAACAAGAATTCGGAGATATTATACCTCCATGAAATATGTAGAGTTTATGTAAATGTTTTTGGGTATTTGTCTCATTCAAAAATAAGATCACAATTACCACAATCTAGTTAAATTTATGGTTTGTAAACTCAAATTATAATAATAATAATGCATATTAATGTTAACCTTAGTAACTTACACATAAAGGTATAAAATTCCCATCATTCCTACGACCTACCAACATACCAAATATCACAATCCATAAAGGCGTTCTGAAATTATGCTGACTACGAATGTGCGGAAACACAAGCACACACACACAGAGACAGACACACACACACAGACAAGCCAAAAACAATACCTCCATTTTTCATGGAGGTAACTAGAAAGGTAACATTTGCAAAGCAAGTGCATAATGTTTACCTTCGCACATGGTTTGCTCTGTTAATTCTTACTCAAACACATTCATATATTTGGTGACAGGAGTATAAATCCCTCCTGCTATAAAATTGCAACATGATGTAACCCAACACTAGTTACCACGGTAACAGGCATCTGGTTCAGGTCATTGACCTTATTGGTTTGGAGAAGAAGAGGAAGAACAAACAGAGCAAAAACAATATTATGTTTTCCTTCTGCGAAGATAAACATAAATACAGTTTAATCGTTATGGAGCAACGCGGGGTCTACATAATATATAATTATTTGTACAGACCCTTTGTACTAAAAGAGAAGAGTTTTGGTGAACAAAAATACGTTCAAGACTTTCAATTTACATGTAGCAACTTAAGGTTTATGGTCGTGTATTCAGCTCTTGACCATACATTTCAACATGCTGAAAACTGTTTGCTACTCACATATGGAATGCCAAAGAGGCTGAACTCCAACATCCCTGTGGATTAAACAAATAGCATTTCGTCGTTAATGGTCCAGGTATGTTTGTTTGTTTGTTTGTTTATTTAGGAATCTCCCATTAGTGATAATATGTACATCACTTCCTGGAGTCATTTACATAAAATACAACTATTATATACATACACGTTCAACTGCTATCATTGACATTATGCTACAGGAAAACTTCTCAACATAGTAAATTACACATCAAGCATCAATTATTACAGCAATTAATAATATTAAACTATACAGCCATCAATCAATAATATTACACTATACAGTTAGCTTCGAAACGAGAATACTCGAAATCATCATCAAAGTTCATCTGTGTTGGTATTTAACTTGTTACATGTTTAAAGTTAAAACTGATGACGCACAAAATCGTGAAGCGTTCCACTTTTTTTAGGTGAGAGAACTTTGTGTTGGATCTAAAGTTTTAACTTCATACAAGTACCTATGATAGACTTGTGAAGATGGTCCCACTTGCTGGTGTTGTCGCCCAGCCAGTGTCCCCCGGTCTTCCCGCTACCGGGGAACGTGGACCTGGTCACAACGATGCTGCGCTTCCCTGTCGCTACACGTGCGCTCCTAGCGACAGACAGAAGAATTGCAGCCATAGAATCCACAGAAGGTCCGGTGTCAAGCCAAATACATGATCCTGTCAAATACATGACTCCGACACAACTTGGGGGTTTCCCAATTATATACCTTAGACAAGGGACGGGAGGGGGCTGGTCGTGATGTGGGAGACTAAAGACCTAACCCCAATCGTAAGTCTAACCCTAGCCTTGAACAATGATCCCAACTCAGACCCTAACTCTTATACCAACCCTAACCCTAACTCTAATACCAACCCTAACGCTAACTAATACCAACCCTAACCCTAACTCTAATACCAACTCTAACCCTAACTCTAATACCAACCCTAACCCTAACTCTAATACCAACCCTAACCCTAACTCTAATACCAACCCTAACCCTAACTCTAATATCAACCCTAACCCTAACTCTAATACCTACCCTAACTTTAATACCAACTCCAACCCTAACCCTTGCTCAAAAAACCTGACCTCTCGCGTATGTGGCAGCTCAAGGATTTGGCTCAACACCGGGATACAAAAAACCTCTGATGAAATAGAGCTATGTTTATGTCAAAGTCACATTTCCAAACCGTGACCCGACCGGGCTGTTTGCGCGAACGAAAAATCAACAATTTTAATCGGTAATATATACAAATAGTACTCATGATTATCTCTTAATTTAAACTATAACTTTTTTGTTTTGTTGTCCTTTATATAGTACTTATCGTTCCTTAAAGCTGCCCGTCCGGGCCCCGGTTTGTAAATGTGACCTCAGCATTATCGCTGTAGTATCCGCTTCGATTTTATTTAGCTAATTATCTATTTTACAAGGAAGCGGCTGAAAGAGCGTACTAAAACTACTCAGTAACTAGAGAAGTAACAATTGCAAAGCAAATGCATAATGTTTACCTTCGTACATGGTCTGCCCTGTTAATTTTTACTCAGACACATTCACATACATGTACTACGAGTGTATGGTGACAGGAGTAGAGCAGACCATTAAATTGCAACATTATGTAACCCAACACCAGTCACTATGGTGACAGACGTCAACAAATCATGCCATTGGCCAGGTCAGAGGTTAGCGTTTGGAACAGAAGAGGAGGAAGAAACTGAGTAAAAACAATATGTTTTCCTTCGGTAAACATAATAAAAAGACTGACATCCGCGGTAGTTCTGGTGTACTTGCCTCAGTGTGGTGGGTGTTTGACTCCAGCCGTACAGGTTGTGGACATCGTAGTGTCTGTACGTGGTCCCGTCAGTTCCCTCCTGATGAGCGTCCATACAGATAGTTTTACTGTACAGATCTCCCATCACCCCTGTAATTTCAGGTTAATGAAGTTGTAATGATGTATAGAATCCTTGTAATGATGTATATAGACGCTGTGTGTTAGCATTTTTGCTACTGTTAGTTTATGCCTGATATATTCCCTGTCGTATGTGTGTACATGTCAGAATGGACCACAGCAAGAATAGCTACAGTTCGTACGCTAAATGCGGATCTTAATTAAGTCAAAGTCAAATTAGCTAAATCTGTATCTAACTACGTAGTTTCAGAGCTACTCAAGACGATATTTTTTTGGGATGTGTTATGTTGTGTATCCCTATCAAGAAAGTGGTATAAATACTATTCTTCAGTGTTCTGCAATATTGCAGAATGTCAAAATGTTTCTTCTGCGATTCGGAAATACTTTCTGCAATTACACACTTCAGTTAATTCGGAAAAAAGTCCGGATCTAAACCCATGGCATGTAAAAATTCATGTTGGAAAAAAATTACATGCAAAATTAGGCCATGTTGATTTGATTATATGGATGACATCCGCGCGCGCATGAATTTTCGGCCGTTTCCAAAAAAAGTTTTCAACCATACTGTAAATCGTACAAAACAGTTGCAAAATTAGCAAAAATATACCATAAGATACAAAAAAAAATAATAAAAACTATACCAATGTCGTAGAATGCCAAAATCAAACGAAAAAAGACGAAATTGTGAAGAAATGAACTTGAAGACCAGACTATTCACCAAACCATATTCTGTGCCATTTGCTCATGATCAACCCTCATGACCACGTAGATTTCATAATGAAAAGAACTTATTTTTTGCTAAACTTTTTTTATTCGCACGCGCGCATCGGTTTTGGGGCTCTCGGAGGATGTCATCCATATAATCAAATCAACATGGCCTTACTGCAGTCAGTAGTATACACAAAAGCTCTTAAACACCATTGAAGCACCTAGCCTGATTTTTTTCAGTCTGCAAAATTGCAGGTTGCTTAATATTTCTTCTGTAATATTGAAAATGTCACTGCAAAATGCAGACTGCAGATGGGTATTTCTAACATTGCAAGATGAGTTCAGAAAAGTGAGACATAAAAAGGCCAAACTGACTTTGACATTCCAGAGATATTAGTGATATCATATTATTGAGAGTCGAATTCGACAACTTACACGGTGTGTAGTCTGGGTTGTTCCAACGGTTGTTCTCGCACTTCCCGGAGTTAGTCGCCGGGTCGTAGTTTCCGGGAATAAAGTTAGCGGGTTCGTTCATGTCCTGGACAACAGGAAAAATTTCATCATAACGCCTCAGACTTTAACAAAAACGTGAACAGACTGCACATTCCAACTTTACATTGATTGCTCTTAAAACGATCCTGCGTCGTCGACATGAAAATGTTTTTTAAGTTCTTTCTTTTTATTCATTTTCGAAATAACAAAAGTAACTCATGGCACAACAAACAAGAATAGCGACGCACATGCGTAACATCAAAACTGATACATAAAACTAGGACATTTAGGACCATAGACATGAAAATGTTGCAAGGTTCGAATTCACGAGTTTTCATGCGGCGCTGATATTGACTATTTATTCATTTATATATTTATTTATCTATATATTTTATTTATTTATTTATTTATTTATTTATTTATTTATTTATTTATTTATTTATTTATTTATGTTTTATTTATGTTTTATTTATTTATGTTTTATGTTTTATTTCTGTTTTATTTATGCTTTATTTATTTATTTATTTCTGTTTTATTTATTTATTTGTTTGTTTTATTTAAACAGGGTAGAGACCTCAGTGCTATTTAATAACACTGCTTTTCAGGAATGCCCTGTGACAACAAGTAAAACGTAGTTTTCACTGCTGGCATCCAGGCTAGATATTGACTATCGCTGCTCGCAGTCTGGAAGTAAAGTACTGGTATGAAACAACATACGATCCATATCCCGTCGAATCTGATTCCGTCTGTCGGGTTGTCGTGGAAGTTGACGATCTGTTCGTGCCACCAGTCGTGCGTGGACGTCTTCAGGAAGTCCGGAAAACCAACCAGCGATCGGTAGTTCTGCGTCAGACGTGAGAAACATATATGTAATATACAGGATGGTTATATCATAGTCACGCTCATTCACTCCGATGGGTACCATCTCAGTACCTTCTTCACCCCCATCAAACTCCTTTCAAGCCCCACCCGCTCAAAAATTCTGGCCGTACCCGGAAATTCGTGCCGTACCCGCGAAAATTTCAAGCCGTACCCGGTAATTCGTGCCGTACCCTGTACTTTTTCGCCGTACCCAATGGCGGATATCGCTCAGCCCCGGTGCGTAGTCACTCGGAAGTCGTGTCTAAATACCCTGTACGGCAACGATACACAACCTCATATAGCCTATGCTCTGGTAAATATTCCAGGCCACCTATCTGCCGAGTGGCGTCGTACAAATCGCGCCCAATCTTGAGAACACTTCGCTCGCGGGTACGGCACGAATTTCCGGGTACGGCCAGAATTTTTGAACGGTACGGCTTGAATTTCCGAGTACGGCTTGAAAGGAGTTTGATGGGGGTGCTTCTGGAGACATTATGTCAACCTGGTTTTTAAAAAGTTTTTATTTTTATATTTAGGCATTGTTTGATTTTCGTTGTGTTTGTTGCCATGTTTCAATCTCTTGTTAATCTGTTCCTGTATGTATGCATATGGGCAAGGGGGAATAAAAAAATAGATAAAATATATATTTCTGTACTACCACGACTCTATGGATCCTGAATCACAAGCACATTGTACACCCTGCATCGCTGCCCGTTGCTCATTGGTGATTTTAGACCATGCAGACACATAACGAAGCCATATATAGCAGGTTGAAAGATCATTTTCCAAATCTATTTATGATAAAATTGTATGAATGACAACGTATCACTAATATTTATGTTTACCGAAGGAAAACATATTGTTTTTACTCAGTTTCTTCCTCTTCTTCTTCTTCTCCAAACAGTGACCTATGACCTGACCAATGACATGATTTGTTGACGTCTATCACCATGGTGACTAGAATTGGGTTACATAATGTTGCAATTTCATGGTCTGCTCTGCTCCTGTCACCATATATTAGTAGTACATGTATGTGAATGTGTTTGAGTAAGAATTAACAGAGCAGACCATGTCCGAAGGTAAACATTATGCATTTGCTTTGCAAATGTTACTTCTCTAGTTGCAATCTTCTTTTACAAAACGAAAATGTTGGAATTTCATGTAAACGTAAACAGAAACATTCTCACCTCCACCTGGAAGTCCCATGAAGCATTCGGCATTTTACCGGGTAGAAACTCGTCTGCATATTCCGGCCAGACCTGATCATAAACATAAACATAAACATAAACATAAACATAAACATAAACATAAACATAAACGTAAACATAAACGTAAACATAAACATAAACAACAGACCTGTATCATCGGCCTACAAATCTCCATTCCAAATTACATTGTCATTGGATATATTACACAACCAATATTGTCTCTTACTTCGGTGTCTGTCGGACACCTTCCTCAGAGCTTCTGACTGGAGTTCTGCTTCTCGCTGCTATATGTAGCCGGTGTAGGTGGCGCTTTTGCGGCGAGAGCACAATCCCAAACGTAGCTGAGTAAAAGCGCCACCTACATCGGCTACATATAGCGGCAAAGACTATAATTCCAATCAGAAGCTCTGAGGAAGGTGTCTGATACACACCGAAACGTAAGCAAGGTAAGACTCTGAGACAAAAGTGGTTGTGTCAAAGAAAACCCCTATATCCTAAACTTTAACAGCCTACTGAAACTATTTTCGGAAGTTACAATGTCGTTGTTTTTGGATCCTTGAACTAGTCTCGTTGGTTAATTGTATGTGTCTAATGTCCTAACTGACCTTTCCATAAGCCGGTCCAGACTGGTCTTCGTTTTTTATCCACACATCCATCTGTACACCCTTGTCCCAGGCTGGGTAGTCTGTCTCGTTCTTACTGATAGCAGGATCCTAAACATAGTACAAAGTCCCGTTAGTTTACCTTAAAAGTTTGCACGTTACAAGGCAAATGCAGCAAAAGTGAAAACAGACTGAATAAGAATTACTGCAATGGCAAAGTTTTCTAGTTTTATATTTATGTTTACCGAAGGAAAACATTTTTTTGCTGCTTCCTCTTCTTCTTGACAAATAAGGTCGACCTGAACCAGACGTCTGTCACCATGGTAACTGGTGTTGGGTTACATCATGTTGCAATTTCATAACAGGATGGATTAAGACTCCTGTCACCATATACTAATATATGAATGCGTTTGAGTAAGAATTAAGCGGACCATATATATGCGAAGGTAAACGTTATGCATTTGCTTTGCGAATGTTACTTAAATTTCTAATTAAAGTTTTTTTCCTTGTGCGTGTTACAAGGCAAATGCAGCAAAGGTGAAAACAGGCTTGGTAATAAAAATTACTGCCATGGAAAAGATATTCAGTTTCTAATTTGATATTTTTCTGTGGATGAATTTATGTGATATGGTTGGCTCAGTCTTGAAGCGACGGTGACGCCAAAAAGAGATATGCTTCGAACATTTTGTACTTGTCATCATCTTCCATTCACCAATTTCACACTTCCCATAATGCCTGGTAAAAGTCACGGATATGACGTAAGACCACCCCCTCCCCCTTCCTCGATGTAATATTTCCAACAAGTTCTATCGACAAACTGGTCAACTATTGTTTTTAATTATTTCTCTAGTATAAAGCGAAACAATTGCATTTTTGTTGGAATTAGAGAAAATGACGTACCTTCTATCGTTCTAATATACGTAATACGACCGTGTGAGTAGGAGAGTCTTCGATAGAAGGTAGAACGATAGAAGGTACGTCATTTTCTCTAATTCCAACAAAAATGCAATTATGGCATGCGCTTTATACTAGAGAAATAATTCAAAACAATGGTTGACCAGTTTGTCGATAGAACTTGTTGGAAATATTACATCGAGGAAGGGGGAGGGGTGGTCTTACGTCATATCCGTGACTTTTACTAGGCATTATGGGAAGTGTGAAATTGGTGAATGCTGAAATGCTGATGCAATGATATATCTGCGCTAGCACAACCTTACCAAAATGATGATGGTTTTCATGCCTTCGCCCTGTAGTTGTCTGAAGTATTCTGGCAGGTCGGGAAAGTTGGTGTGGTCAAGTGTGAAATCCAACTGACGTTCCATGTAGTCTATATCGGCGTACTGCACATCCTGTCATGGAAAATACATAGCTGAACATCACATATGGGTATGTATTCCATATAGACGAGGGATTAATGAATGAACAATCTGTCAACCGGTTCTTGAGTTATCCTCCTTCGAAAATTTTTCATCAAATGCTGCTGCAGTTCCAGAACAAGCCGCTAGGGGACCCAAATTCGTGACCCTAGCATGTCCAGATCACGAGATATCAAAACCGGAAGTTCTGCTGCAGTACCTAGGAAAGCCGCCAGGGATCCCAAAATCTAATCATTCCTAGGTCTCATGAAGACCTACCCACCTACCAAGTTTCATTCCAATCCATCCCCTGCTTCTTGAGTTATCTTGCTAAACCACACACACAAACACACACACAGACAAACGCTACTGAAAACATAACCTTCTTGGCGAAGGCAATGAAGACTATTGTATAGTATTACACGTATGCACACAACAAAAGAAACGTCTACACATGAATTGTATACATTGACATTCACGTCAAGCTAGCACGAGTAATAAAACATTCAGAGACCGAACTGTGAAGCTAATGAAAAGAACTGAAATAAACTCTTTTTGGTATCTTTACTATTTATCCTTACTGCTATAAACAGTCTTTACAAAGAAACGTTTTAGGCAAACGTTTCAAATCCATCCTTTTATCAAAATTGGAAACAAAAATGCGCACAGATGTGGCTATATATACACGTTATAAGGCCATGTTGATTTGATTATATGGATGACATCTTTGCGCGCATGAATTTTCGTCCGTTTCCAAAAAAAGAAACGTTTTCGTCCATACTGTAAATCCTACAAAGTAGCTGCAAAATGAGCAAATGACAAATTTATATGCCGTAGAATTGAAAAAAAAAAGGATTGGAAAAATAATGGAACATTCCAAATGACAAGAAGAAAATGTGAAGGAATGAAAATGAAGATTATTCACCATGCCAATAAAATATTACTCTGTGTATTTAGTCATTTGTTCAACCTCCATGACCACCTAGATTTCATAATGAAGGTTACATCTTTTTTGCCAAACTTTTTTATTCGCACGCTCGCATGAGTTTTGGGGTTCCCAGAGGATGTCATCCATACAATCAAATCAACGTGGCCTAACAGCAGTAACTAAGCTCACCTGTGGGATGTTGTAGTTACGCATACCCTCGACGACATTTTGGATATGCTGAGTGTTCTTGTAACCATAGCGACAGAGCTGGAAGCCTAGTGACCAATATGGCGGCATGAAGGGTCGTCCTATCGCCTGAAAACGAGGCAGAATGCTAATGACTGCCATGACGTCACGGCAATAGACGGGTGACGATTGGCTGATTTGTCTACCAATGATTTGCAAATAATTTGCGTATATATGATGTAAACATATAAATAAACAACTAGAGAAGTAACATTTGCAAAGCAAATGCATAATGTTTACCTTCGGACATGGTCTGCTCTGTTAATTCTTACTCAAACACATTCACATACATGTACTACTAGTATATGGTGACAAGAGCAGAGCAGAGCAGACCATGAAATTGCAACATTATGTGACCCCATTCCAGTCACCATGGTGACAGACATCAACAAATCATGTCATTGGTCAGGTCATAGGTCAACGTTTGGAGAAGAAGAAGAGGAGGAAGAAACTGAGTAAAAACAATATGTTTTCCTTCGGTAAACATAAAAACAGGAAGTTGTGACTAGATATATAACGAAGTGTATGGAGGGGGTTAGAAGATCTAGATTGTCTACACTACCATGTAATTTTGCTAGTTTTGCTTTTTCACGTCTTATTTAGCAGGGGTACCGAAGCAACGGGTTCCGCGATGGGCGCCTAGTGCGGAACTCGCGGGAAAAGTGGTGTCGGCACTTGGCCCTGTGCGGAAGAAAGCTAATTCTAGTGCTGAACGGCTTTGTTCAAGTGCTGAAGCTCCTTCAGAACTGGAATTCCAAAGCTAAATCTTGTCTCAGCACTCGTTTTCCAGTGCCAAAAGTCCACTCAGCACTCAGCTATCCAGAACGGGTCCCGCACTGGACCTTCCCTCGGACACTCTTTGGCGCTAGAAGCCGAGTTTCTTCCGGTGCTTACGTCAACATACAGTAGTGCAGTTCTACTATATCTCAAGGCCGAGTGAAAATGTGAGGAAAGGGGCCATTAGACGTCTGGCTTGGTTTCCAATACTACTAGTATTGCCAATTGGAAGTTTCCAGTGCTGAAGCCGCCAACACTTACTGGACACCCAGTGTTGACGTAACTTCGGCACTTGAAATCTAGGACGGAGGCCGCCTCACCGCTGTACACCGAGTGCTGAGAAAGAAATCCGTTACTTCGGTACTTTTGCTCATATTATACCTGAGTGTATAGTGGCGTCGGTGGCGCAACGGTTAGAGCGTTGGACTCGGAACCGAGAGGTCGATACTCACCGTGACCCGACGTTGTGCCCTTGGGAAAGGCACTTCACACGACTTCCCCACCTATACGGTGGAGTGACGCCCACCGAGCCTCTTGGGCTAATCTGTCTGTCAGGGTGCCAAAAACACCTTACGGATTTGGTGCGCCGATGTGACAACATCTCATATTGGCCACTGAGAGCCGTAAAAAATTTTAATTTTTTTTAAATACCTGAGTGTACTGCTGAACCACCTCCTCCGGACTGGGTCCCAGGAACATGTAGAAGTCCAACACGCCGCCGATAGTCCGGTAGGTCAGGGCAGGCTTGGGCTGGAGCGTCACGTCTGGGGTAAACATACAAGTGATAGAAAAAGTGATAGAGTTATGATGAAATGTTGAAATGTAATGGCTGATAGTTACATATTTTTCTGTATAATATAACTTGAAACAAACAAAAATGACCTTGCACTTTGGCGAAAACAACTCAAACACCAATATTCCTTCGTTATCGTCCGTTCCCATAGTCTCCGGTTGCTGAAAATGAGTGGGCCTACACTACGGATGGCACACAGCTTATATGTAGGGATAGCCCGAGAAGCCGGCATTGTGATACCACCTTGCGGATTGCTGTTGAGCAGCAGCACGCCGTGGGCATTTCCGTCCTCCTCCATGGCCATGTAGAAGGGATGTACTCCGTAATTGTTCCGCTCCACGTCGTAAGTCGTTCCGTCGGCAGCGGTCTCTTGGACTGGCTGTCAACAAAAAAGACACTCCGTGAATGTTGGTAAGTCACTGAGTAAAGAGACTCTTTTTATAAAACCAAGTCTTTTAGAGTTATTGTGTTAAATGACTACTAGTATCGTGTACATATTACACTCATGTACGTTTTGAACGAGGTTGCGGAACTTACGTAGTATTTGGCTATAGCCTCCACCAGGCTTTGGGAAACGGATGGAAAGTAGAGTAGAAATTGACGAAATAGACAGATGCCCGAAGCCTGGAAGAGACTAAAGGGCTAGACGACTTCCGAAAATAGTTTCATCAGGTTGGTAAAGTATAGGATACAGGAGTTTTCTTTTACACGACCAAGATTTCTCCTAAGTGCTTACGTTTACTATGGCTACATATAGCGGCGAGAAGCAGAACTCCAGTCAGAAGCTCTGAGGAAGGTGTCTGATATACCCCGAAACGTAAGCACTTAGGTGAGAAGTTTTGGTTGTGTAAAAGAAAACTCATGTAGGCTAGAAGACTGTCTCTTACTCACCGGCCCCGGGGACTCGTCCCGGGTTAACATGCCCCACGTGCGCCAGTTCAGGTCGTGGTGGAACGTGGCGTGTTCGTGTTCCCCGAAGCCGTACACGTACGGGGACGGCAGTCTGGTGCTGATCTGCAGGAACTGGTCCGCAAAGGTGAAGCCACCGAGGGAAGAATCCCAGCTGAAAAAAAATACCTAAATTCACGAACAACCATTGCCTTGACGCTGAGGCATAGATAGCCTTGTATCCAGTCTTACGTGACTGGGGGTATTGCGATGTTCGGGCAGGTTGTGCCTTCAGGAGCTCTAATAGCTTCCCCCGCCCAGTGCAACAGGCCGTCCCGGTAGGAGTGTACGCTAATAAGAGACAGTAAGCTTGGGGATTTGGTTTCCCCCAACACGACAGGGCTAATCAATCTCTCGTGAAATACACATGTACACCGGGAAACCTATGTAAAGCGGGCGGGACAGAGCTCTTGTGGCCCCGACCACGAATCAGACTGGCTAAGGCACAGAGGGGTTTTGAACGGAGTACTGCAAACACCGAAGAAGAACTTTATTGACACAACAAAAGTATATACAGCGACTTTCGTAAGGTCCTTAACTACATGTACATGTAGACGTACAGACAGATACGTGGGTACAACAAAATTACGTACATGTATACAAGACAAAATTTAAAATACCTACGTACAAGACCATACATGTAGATAAAAACACCGACGATGCTTTCTACAATGAACTGCGAGGCCCTGGGATAATATTAGGAATGACAATGTCCTTTTTCGTGTTATTTTCTTCTTTGTGGTATACTTACATCAGGGTGCCGGTATCCCTCCGAGTTACGTTGATGTAAAAGAGCCCGGATTCCGGAATTCCGACTTCATACTCCGGAGACGCTGCCGTTTCCGGACCAGGCATGTCCATAGGAACCTCGTATCGCGGGTTGCCCTGGTCATAAAACTGAAGAAAAAATGGTAGAGTTTTTAGAGGAATGATCTTCAGTTAAGAATTTATCTAATTTTCAAAGTCTCCTTCTTTTTTGTCTTTGCGTAGTTGTGTGTTTGTTTGTTTCTTTTTTTTTATGCTGATTGTTTGATTGGTGGATTATTTGTAATGTTATAGATACGTGGAAGTTTTTTTTTAAAGAATCAACGCTTACTTACAAATAGGGCTAAACGATGGTAAGACGAGTATGTAACCTTGTTTAAATTTAAAACTTTTGATCCAACGCAAAAAGTTCTCCCACCTAGAACTTTCGATCAGTCACTCCGGTCTTCCTCAGTAGACTGACCCAGTGGGGTTTGTCACGTGACCCAGTGTTGACGTCACACTTCAAAGAAGCCACCACGTGACAAGCCCCACTGGGTCAGTCTATTGAGGAAGACCAGAGTGACTGGTCGAAAGCTCTAGGTAAGAGAATTTTAAACATTTAACTACCAACACAGATGAACTTTCATAAGAAGTGCAAGTTCTCGATGTTCAGGAGAACTTTCACTTCTTGTTCCGTTGAACCTTTCAGCATGCCACTAGGTTCTCTTCCAGTTCTCATCAATACACCGTTAACATACCTGTCTCCAAGTCATTTTACAACAACAGCTTCTTTCCCCGGACTGCAAAATTATGGAACTCTCTTCCAAACAGTTGCTTTCCGTCCGACTACAATCCACAAAGCTTCAAAACAAAGGTCCACCACCATCTCCTGACATAACTACATTATACTCACTTTTACCTCTAGCTCTATGTCTAGAAGTTGCCAAAAATAATTGGCCTTGCTTTGAGCGACACCGTTAAAAAATGTCACCTTAAAACGCAGCCTACTGTTGGTCTGATGCTCCACGTCTAGTGTGACGGTCTGTACCGGTGTGCTGAACGCACAACTCTGCCCGGTTTTCCACTCCATCCGCACCCGGTACCCGTGAACCGTCCTGGTCTTGGAGACCACCTCGTACCCGTAGTCTGCAGGGTAGTGGCAGATGGGGACCCTGGGTTTTTTTCGGAGAGAATTTGTAAATATTGCTCCTCAAATGCAGTGGAAGACGAAATTTATTTCATCTCTAACTGTCCATTTATGACGACATCAGAAAACAATTATTTAGCACCGTGTCCAAAATGCTCCCTTACTTCCCCACCATTCCCTACCACAAAAAAATTACTACTAAAATCAAAGAACCCACATATTATATAGAAGAAGTGGGTAAATTCGTCTTCCATTGCCTAAAAAGAAGAAGTCAAACCCAGTAAAACTAGTACTATGCATGTTGTAGAATATAGTATAATGCTAGACATAGATATAGTCTCACATACCACTGTATTTTCTTTCTTATATTGTTTGTAACTGCAATTAGCCCTCGGGCATGTATTTGCAATAAACTTTCATATAATGTTTTTTCATTGAAACATTACAGCGACACACTCAAGGTACACTTATACTCATGTCGCCACCAGACAATACGCAATACAAGCAAGCAAAGCACGAGTTTTCGTATAGAAGTTGAATACAATAATTAATCAATGAACAAGTGAAACAAATATATAAATACTGACAGGATTGATCAAGATATTACAAAAACGATTTGATTCTAACAAAAATGTACATGTAATAGTATTTGAGTATTGTAAATTGTTGACAGAAAAGAAGAACCTCTTAAAAGTAAATGTACGAGTACCAGAATATCATCTGAAAGATCATCCAAGTCAGTAATAAAGTCAATCAGTGTTTTTAAGTTGCCAAAAAGGGTATTTCGTTGTTGAGTGTAGTTAGGGCAGTGTAACAAAAAGTGACTAATGTTTTCACATGGATGACTACAGGAACAAGCTGGACTTGAAACTAAATTACGAGAGAACTAGAGAAGTAACATTTGCAAAGCAAATGTATAATGTTCACCTTTGGACATGGTCTGCTCTGTTAATTTTTACTCAAACATATTCACATACATGTACTACTAGTATATGGTGACAGGAGCAGAGCAGACCATGAAGTTTGCAACATTATGTAACCCAACACCAGTCACCATGGTGACAGACGTCAACAAATCATGTCAGTGGTCAGGTCAGAGGTTAGTGTTTGGAGAAGAAGAGGAAGAGGAAATTGAGTAAAAACAATATGTTTTCCTTCGGTAAACATAATAAAAGCTTTGGTTTAGACAGTGTATACCTGGGGTTTGCGGTATCGTTGGCCCAGGTGCAGCCGCGTTGGGAGACGCACGCAGCCTCTACCGGCACGGCGCCCTTCTCAGGGTAACAGTTGATCCTGTCGTTGTCCGGAGTCTGAAGCATCACGGGAAGAGCATGGCCCAGGAGGAGGAGGAGGAGTGATGACGTCAGCAAAACCATCATGGCGGACGACAATCTCAAGAAATGTCAGTTTACAAGAAGATGATCGCCACCCTCTGAGACACAAAAAGACAGATTAATTTTATTTATTTTATTGAAATACCGTTATTGTACATTCATGCCACGACGGGCTAGGTACAGGTCAAGATATAACAGACACATAACAAACGTATATAGAAAATTGGAGACAAGAGATCACTACTTGACTTAGACATACATACATAAGGAACATACAAGGGTACTATACTAGGCTAATACAAAGTGTTGTAGTCACTGAGCTAATATTAGAGAGGTCAACTTCTTCTCGCTTTTTTGTACAGTGGAAAATGTGGGAGCAGATCATGTTTGTGATACAGGGTTTGTCTAATTAATTAATGTACAATTATAGTACAACAGAGTGTTACACACTTAAAAAAACACTGGAGACAAGGTTAAATTGCTCATACACTAGAATGCTGAGAAATGTCTTAAACATCTCATGGACACAAAGAATTTCAAACCGTGAGTTACTAGTATACAAAAATATACCACCGATTGCTGAAACAATACGGCAAAGGAGACTGCGTTTTGCAGGCCACTGTTGGAGGAAAAAGGATAAGGTAGTACACAAACTCTTACTGTGGAAACCGAGTCATGGAAACAGAAGTCGCGGAAGACCACACTTGACTGACATTAATCACCTAGAAGCTGACAGTGGAATGACTCTAAGTCAACTGCCTGCTGCGATGGAGGATAGAGAGAAATGGAAGCAGACAGTTGTAATGTTTCTAGTCTAGTGGTAGTTTGGTATCTTAGCGTCTATATATATCTTACTATAGAGAGAGATGCAAACAGTTCGATTACTTCCGCCGAGCCGGGTTTATTGATCCATATGTTAACACGACACACTAACACAGCGACTGTCTCTTCCAAGCTCAGTTATGCTAACAATAGTCCTTCATCTGATTGTTTGCTCTCACCAACCAATCAGCGCCTACCTAAACGCGCAAATATATGCATAACTCTCTATAACAAGTCTTTCCACATGGTCATTTACATATTACCCTAATTACAATATTCATACCCGTTACACAGAAGACTCCAAGTGACCTCGCCGCAGTGAGTGAGTATAGAATCAGTATAGTACAAAATGTGCCATCCCACGAAAACTTTCTGACTCGGTCTCTCGTGTTTTCTAAAAGCAATTTACCCCTAGCAGCTCGCCGTTTATCACCCAGTGTGTAACTCTGCAGCCAGCCGTGTACAAAAGGGCGGCAGCAGGGTGAGTTACAGCCCTGTCACCGTACCAGCTTATGTGAGTGTTTATTTATCCAGCTGACATTGTCCACACGACCTGCGATTGACCCCGACCTAAGAGTCAGGGTTCGATTCCCATAATGGCCACTGGAACTCAGCATTGCCACAAGAAGACAATCCTCCTATCCCAAAACTGATGAAACATAGTTGAATGAACCTGCTGATAGCCGAGACTCAATGTCACTAATCCACTTGAGACATACACGTGAAGGAATGCAATTTATTTCTCAACAAGTATAAAGAACAATGTATGGCAACAACTGTAAACACAAATACTATATGGTAACTGTCTATCCTTTATTTAGAACTATGATATATTATCGATGACAATTTATGAACAAATCATTATGATGCATGGGTGATCTGGAGTCGCTTTTGGAACGAATTACGAAGAAATTGTCCTGTGTAAGCACATAGGACTTGCGCATGGTAGCAGTGCACGGAAAATATTATTCTGTGTACATGATAGGGTAGCAAAGTATCGTCACATCTCTCTCTCTCTCTCTCTCTCTCTCTCTCTCTCTCTCTCTCTCTCTCTCTCTCTCTTTGCTATGAGGCCACAGCAAGTAATTTTTATGCATGACATCAGCACGCGCATTGATTTTCGTCTGATTTCGGGAAAAAAATTTGTTGCCCTCTGACAGTGGTCAACATGTAGGAATCTTGTTTTTCTTTTGGACTGCCTTGTTGTTTTCGCCCTATCACATTAGATTTGGAGTCTGTGGAGGATGCCATCCATAAAATTTACTTGCTGTGGCCTAAGTAGTAGGATCTGTGTCGTCACAAAATAAAGCCTTGTACACATGGTCACCAAACATGGCGGTGGGCGTGAAGGGGGCGTACTTGCTAAGATAAATACAACATGCCACCATCTCTAAGTTGCGTAGGAGCGGCATGGGTTCACCGGCTATTTGGAACAGTGCAGCTATTCATTCACCCTCAAATGTACAATATATACTTACATATAAATCACATAGAATAAGTAGAATAAGTAATATTTGCATAGGTTTTCCCTCCCTATCACAGTCGACGTGATTCATCCCAAAACACCTTAATAATACTACTTAGCCCTTCTCAGAAGATAGGCGGACAAGGAACTTTAGAACTTGGCTGGGTCGGTGAGCGGTGAAGTCCATTGCCAACTTCGCGTGGCTCAAGTTAGCAATTAGACACTTCTCTACATTGAAGGATATACAGGCTACGTGGGAAAATGCACGCACTCCACAATAATGCTAGCCTACTAAGTGCTTTAGGCAAAACAGCATGCATGTTTGTAGCTCTATGTGGGCAGGGTTCCAACTTCAAAGTTCATCGGCTACACTCCACAGAAATAAAACATATGGTGGGGGCAATGACCTCCTTATATCTTGTGCCAAGGGCACAATCAGTCTCAATTTCTTTCATTGTTTGATCGCTACTAAATTGTCTTCGAAAAGTGTCGCAATGTCGCTTTCCCAGTAGCCGCTGTCCTATACATGTATACTATTAATCAATGTTTTGGGGTACGCAAATATAGACCCGCATGTACATGCACATGCCACTATCAGATTTTACCGTGATTTTAATAATATTAAAGTGGCTGCTACTCACGTCACAGTTATTACGACATTTTGACTGTACGTGTTTGAAGAAACCGCTGTTACTCAAACCAGTTTCTTGTTATGTCTACCAACAACGCTTTGGAGAATTTCAAAAGAGTACTTCCTCGAAGGGGCCAAGGAATGCTGGCCCCAAATATTTCGGCGTGCTCTCAAAATAACAACACATCAACATTACTGACCTTAGAATGGCTTGCTTCTTTTATCATTGGACAGTGAGTTGAGTTGTTGTGTTGCACTCGGGTACCAGGTACGATCTACGTCGAGTGGCAATAACAGGAAAATACAGAACTAAATAGCCTTGCCCACAAAGCAAACACGTCTCTCTATAGGAAGGCATACGTCAGTGTAAGCCCGAGGGGGATGGGGTGGGGGTGTTTGGTAATAATGCAAACATGTCTATAGGAAAGAACACGTCAGTGTAAGCCCGAGGGGGATGGGGTGGGGGTGTTTGGTAATAATGAGGAGTGGTGCACATAAAGTGTAACTGTTATATAATTCAAAAGCATCAGGAATTCGGAATGGAGATTTCTGCATGCAATGTAATAAAACAGTGCTATCAATGTTTTAATAGATAGTACAAGGCCAACGTGAGGGTCAATCCATTTAAAGTTGGGGGAGGACTTCCTTATTTTTACCAAATGCACTATTTGTCATCAGATATCGATTCTCAAGGTGCTCTGAATCGTTCTTAGCTACAAATGTATGTCTAACAACCACCCAAACTTATAAAAGAATAGCATCTGCGCTAAAACCTTGATTTATCACGTAGAGGTATCAAAGGTTAGAACAAAATGCGAAGTCCATTGACTCTTGGCAGTACTAAGGTAAACAGTTACGTTACCAAGGTTCATGGGGGCGTATGTTCTGAGTATTGAGGTTAATGGCTTTATAACTCATTATTTTTAAATGGCCCCATTTCATTTCTAAGTATCACTATTACATGTATACAATTTTTCTTGAACAAAAAAAGAAACAGTAAGATAACAAGCCTCAGTCACAGAATGTATTGTATTAGTATCGAAAAGCAAGAAAAGTTGTGTTCTTTCAAATCATTTATTGATTTCATCTAGTTTAGACCACCAGAAGCATTTTTTCGTCAATATCACAGTAATATATTCTTACATTGTTTTTTGTTACGTAGTTACATGTACGTAGGTACTGGTAAGAGAGACCATTACATCTGCTTGGAGTTGTGTGCATCTTGGCTTGCACTTTTCATCAAGATCGCTAGAAGCGCACTTGAGTTACTAGTAAAATGAGTATATTAGACGATCGTTCGTTCTAAAATGGTGTATTGCAAAAGATATCCAGTCTCCAGAAAGTCTGCCTCATATTTTGATTATGATACGTAAATGACAAGTGATAGAAATCCGACAGAATGTCGGAAAAATGTCTAAAGAACAACAGAGTAACCTTTGACCCTACTAAACCCGGAAGTAAAGGAAAGTGTTACCATGGTATGTACAAATGTAGAGCCTCTTCAGCCTTAGCCGTTCTGTAACGATTATATAGCGAAGACGTTGTAGCTGTGTCGTTAGTCTTAAGTTGCATTCATGAACGCCTTAAGAAGACATCTTTGTTCAGTACAGAGAGTTAGCTCTCGAGTCCACCACACCACACTTTTGCGAGCTGCCCTTCCCAACAGAACGTGCTGCATAGGTCATGCAACGGTGCAAGGTACAGTGTCAATCTTCAAACTTTAGCGAAAACTTTCAACTGTACGTGAAAACTATTTGGAACACTGTGAAAACTGCTTTTTCCTCCTACCGCAAAATCAAGTCATTGCCAAAATAGGAAATAGATTTACTTACTTAATTCAAAAATAGATTTACAGTAAAAATTAAAGGTTTACAGTAAACAATTAAATGTATCACTTTTGCAAGATAGTACATTGCACATACTCTTTGTTATAACGTTAAATAACACATTGCAATTTACAGACAAAAAGTATTTCCAGCCCTGTTGACCCTCACCCAGATGGGTTTGCGGAAAAGGCTAGGTAGCCTGCAGGCTAGCCTGGCAGGCTTTTGGGTTTACAGAAAAGGTGGGCAGGGCTAGGGATACTTTGCAGGCTATCCTTTCTGTGTCCCAAAGGGTGTGCATGGGGGTTTGGTCTCTAATAACCCCACCCAGATTGAAGTGGGAACAGGCTTTGAATTAGACAAGATATGTGTTATCCTTGTATCAAGGAGGTTATTTCCTTGCTTGTATTAATTTGTAGCCAAACTCACTCAGATCTTTCTTGTCCTTTCAGGCAAGCCGATGGTGTATGTGCACCAGACCGGATACAGCAAGCCTGGACTGGTGCCCAGTCTGACTCCATTTGGTATAAAGCTCATGACCTACCTGCGCATGGTCAACATCCCCTATCAGTACAGCGAAACCCTCAAACTTGGGCCAAAGGTAACGCTGTCTAACTTTTGTCTCCTTTTAGACTTTCCAGAAAATTGTCTTCGCTTATTTGCATATCTATCAATAGTTCGTACTTATACCAGTGTTAATTCATGACAACTCTCCATTGTCACTGACGATTTAGGTACTAGTAGTCACTGTGGATGCTACCTGAAACGTCTGACCATTTCCGAAATATCCAGTTGCTTGAGTAACTGTTTGTTGGTGTATCTTATTCCCTGGATGTCTAACCTTCACCGACGTAACGTTATAGTAGACTCAAAATCATGGGATTTTTGTTCTTGTTGCTACGTACCAGTTTAAGTTGTTTCATTGTCAGTAGTATCTTTTCAGTAAGTGAATTTTAGTTCTTGTCGTGACTAGTAGAATGAGGAGTGAAGAATTCAAGAAAAGTTTCTATTTTTGCTGGTTTGCCATCTCCAGTTTGCCAACATTGTTTTTCAGGGGAAGATACCCTGGATCACCTATAAGGGACAAGCCATGGGGGACTCAAGCCTTATCATGGAGTTCCTAAATGAAGAATTTGGAGTTGACCTGGATGCATCCCTATCAGAAAAGGAACGTGCCATCAGCCGAGCATTCGTTAAAATGCTAGAGGAAAACACTTACTGGTATGGAAACTTTTCATCTAGTTTTCTAGACTTGTTTCTATTCACCGTGAGAAACAAAATTTATTGAGTAATCTTTTAAAAACTGTACCAAGTTTTGGATATAGGGATTTTCTTAAAAATACACAACCAGTACTGTCTCTTACCTTGCTTATGTTTCAGTGTCTATCAGTCACACCTTCCTCAGAGCTTCTGACTGGAGTTCTGCTTTAATTCTTGGCGCTAAAAGCACAGTGCTGGAATAAAGTGCAATGCAGTGGAAGACAAAAATTATTTCATCTCTAATTGTTAATCTTATGACGATATCAGAAAACAATTATTTACCACTGTCAAAATGCTCCCTTACTTTCCCACTATATCCCCTACCACAAGAAAACAATTACTACTAAAATCAAACAACCCATCTGTATCTGTATTGGTATAGCCGGTATAAGCGCCTTTCAGCGTAACACACCAGCTTTGCAGGCACGCGGTGACAGCGAGTTCCACTCTGCGATAGTGATTCCATGATTCCATTGCCTCAATAGAAGAAGTCAAACCCAGCAAACCTAGCACCATGTATGTTGTAGTATGTAGTATAATGTTAGACGTACATATAGTCTCTCATACCATTGTATTTTCTTTTTTCATGCATGTTGTTTGTACCTGCAATTAGCCCCCTGGCATGTGTATTTGCAATAAACTTTCTTCATCATCTGTTCTCCAGGGGTATTGGCTATGACCGCTGGCTGGAAAACTACTTCCACCTGGGGCAGCTGTTTGACGTTCCCTCGGCTGTCCAGCTGTTTATTTTCCCCACAGCTTCGCGGAAGGTCCGACAGATGCTGCATGCTCAGGGTCTGGGCAGGCACTCCACTCAGGAGATCCACGACATCATTCAGAAAGACGTCTGGGCTGCTTCTGAGTTTTTAGGTAGGGACAAAACTTGCCAGATACTTCCTAAAATTCTTCTGAGATGGCCCCATAACAGGCTTAATCTTTTGGAAGATAATTTTTATTTGGTATAACGGCCCTTTGGCTTACCAGCTTTGCAGGCATGCGGTGCAGTGGCAGCTAGCTACATTACACTGAACCGCTATGGGTAGAACTCTCAGGCACTTGAAATTTGGCGCTCCCAGTCCCAAGGACAGACAACACTTAAGCTCCTGTTCTAAAACAACAGGATGCTCTTGACTAATTTGCATCATCCTTGTCTTGACTTGTCTAACTTTTGGACGTCCCAAAAAATTGTCTTATTTGCATATCAATAATAGTTTGTGCTTATAAACCTGCATTTCTCCTGCAGTCTGTGTCACTGACAAAACGTAGTGTCAGACAGGATGCTACCTGAAATGTCTGTCAGTGACCTTTCCAAAATCATATCCAGTTGCTTGAGTAACTGTTTTTTGGCACATGCACCTGTTGTTCAACATATTTGCCATGATGAATGTATAATGTGTATGTGACCAGTAGTGTTTTATTCCTTGCATTTCTTGTTTGTCAGGTACCAAGCGATATTTCATGGGAGAGGAGCCAACTGCTGCAGACCCAACTGTTTTTGGACTGTTTGCAGAATTCCTTTGGACCACACCCAAACACTCCCACCTCTACAAGCTAACCAATGAACAATATCCTAACATCAAGGACTACTGTTTCCGTATGAAGGAACAGTATTGGCCAGACTGGGACGAAATTGTTGGTACAAAAAGATGACGTGATGCATATAGTTTTACGAAATTGCCTTTGCTTGGAATCAGTGTTGAGTGTTTAAACTTAGCAGAATGTTGCTATTTGAAAGACTAGTGTATTACATCATTGATTTCAATTGAGTTACTCTATGCAAGACCAAGATATGACATTTTGTCCAGTCTTTCACTGGCGTAGGTTATTAAATGTATAGAACAGTATAGTATACTTAGATTGTAATTCATTGAGCATTCATGCCTTTATTGCAACTGTCATTCATACAAAATTTAACGTACAATTATCATTCAACACTTGCATCTTGTAAAGAGTGAAATCTTGTGCCAATGTTTTTATTTCTAAAATAGGACATGAAAGCGTTGATTGAAGTCTTCATCATTTATTTTTCCAACATGTGATCCCCAGACAACATAGTTTGGTAACCTGTGGTTAACACAAAGTATGAACTGTGTTCTGAGTTGTATCTGTAGCTGACAATCAACAACATATACATTGGTATGTATTAACAACATCTCTATTGTTCCATCCTTTCTGTAACATTGACTGCTAACAATAAGACATCAGTGACATAAACAATATCTAGAAAAATTGTGAAAAATATTATCATTCAAATATGTACAAGAATTCATTCAGCTGGATTATAATTTTCTAAACAATTTTATCTAAAGCTTGTATCTAAAGTACATGTGCAGCTTGAACAAAGGTTGAACTTAAGTCAGAGTCACCAGAGAAATTGCAGGAACTGTGATTTGGGAAACGCCACAGAATAGCTGGAGAAGTACTTAGTCAAAAGGTCATGGATGGATGTAGTATGGTTTTGTGTGTGTGTGCAAAAACACTGTATAACTAGAAAGGCCGACATTTGCTTTGGAGCAAATACTGCATGGCTTCACCACATTTTACGACATGCCATACCAAATTTCCAGAAATTTCAGGTCATTTAGCCCCCAAATGAAGAAATTGAATCCATTTAAAGAAATGGCAGGAGAAGGAGAAGAAACATGAGGAAAAACAATATGACTTCACCACATAGTGGTGAAGCCGTAACAACAGATGCCAGAAATGCTTAATCCTTTCCGAATGGAGCGACATTTGCATAGTGATGTTCCACATGGCCCTCTGCAGTGATAGTGCAGAAGTTGTCTTGTGCACACAGTGTCAATTTGGAGCTTAAGGTGTCTTCTGCAATTACCATGAACAAATTCTAACAAGTCTGGTTGAAGCAGAACACAGGCAAACTGTTTAGAAACTAAGAATGTCTCTGAACGCATGCTGCTTGTTTGCCTTTCAATGTAGCTGAACACATTCAACCACCTAATTGTATATCATCCAAACATTGTACATCACAATGCTCCTCTACTTAGCAACAGTCTGTCTAGCCCAATAAACAACAACAACTTTAGGCTACACCAATTTCATTTGTTGGTTCTCAGATTTCTTCAGAAAAAATATGAAGCGACAGGGCAAAAATAAAAACAGGTCTAGGCATCCTATCATAGCCCCAAATGCAATGATAGGAGCCATGAAGTCAGCAGAAAAGGCTGGGTTAGTATTTGAACTATGAATTTTGAACTTTTAATCAAACCACTGCATTGATGGAAAAACTGTAACAAGTAGGAAGAAAAGGACTTTCCTCAACTGTTGGGGACAAAATACCGGTATGAGCATATTTGAGTTGATTCAGAATCAGAATCTTTTTTTTTTTACAAATCTAAAAGAAATGAAGAGGCAAATCTGAGAACCAACAAATTAAATTGGTGTGGAATTATTATCAATTGCACAACTTTGATGAGTCTATGACAATGAATAGTGAACCTTTACAAATATACAATATTTTGTGTGCGGAAAATTCTTTCTCATAATGCTACTTACAATTACAAAATTTAAACATTAGGATGGAATGACTTGATTGAAAGAAGGTACCAACATCAACTGCAGATTCTGAAACGGAATAAGAATTCTTTTGAACATTTCTAGAGGAGCTCCCGCCCTTCGAACTGTAGGTTCCCGTCGGTTGCGTACTGGTCCAGGCAGCCGTGGTGTCCGGGTTGCGGGCAGGGCGAGAATCCGCTCGTGTCGTACTTGGCCCAACCGCTCTCGTAACCTAGCGTCATCCAGTGCTGTGCATGTTTGTAAATCTCGTGGCCATACCTGTATGTGCGAAAAACAGTGACAGTTGAAAGTCAATATTTCCGGTGTCAAAGCCCTCCCGCATTACCATTAGCATGGTCGCATATGGCGGCCCCCATCTCCGTTTCATAGCCCTTGGGCCACACAACTGTGCAATCACTACAACAGGAGGCTAGTCCGTTGGTAGTGGTGTGTGTTTAACTCCTGCCAATACTCTTTCTCAAAATACTGAGTACTAAGCAAAGAAAGCAATATGTACCAGTTTTTAAGTTTTTGGTATGACTCAGCCGGGGATCGAACTCACGACCTACCAAATTCAATGCGAGCACTCTACCCACTTGGCCGTTGCACCAGCTTATTTCCAATGTAGATTAAGTTAAATGGAGCTTGAGGGCTTATGTCTCAACTAAGATCTACAAACATGTATCATAAGCCAGATGCAATGTTTCAAACTATTCCATAAACAAATTGTTCCCAAAAAGGCAGATTAATAAGTAAGTTTAACTCATTTCATGATAGGGCAGTAAACTCAGTTTCCTGACTTTTCACATAACAAGTAAAGTGCAATACAGCACAAACACAGCAGAAATTGTGTTCTGGGAATGTTCACTGACCTCCAGGATGCGTTTTAGGTTTTTGTGATTGTATTGGAGCTGTAAAGGGGATTGTATGACTATGACCCAACAGCAGTCGCCAAAAATCACTAACAGAGTTGCCAAAAAGTGTTGATGTGTACAGTACATGTATGTTAAAGTTAGAGCTTAGGCCTCACCAATTTAATTTCTTGGTTAACGGATTTTTCTAGAAAAATATTGGGCGGGCGGGCGAAAAAAAAATAAAAATAAAAACAGGCCTAGGCATCCTATTATGGCCCAAAATGGTACGATAGGAGCCATGAAGTCAACACACCAGGCTGGTTCAAAATTTAAACAATGAACTTTGAACTTTCAATGAAACCACTGCATTGAAAGATGGAATAACTGTGGCAACTAGGATGAAAAGGTCTGTTTTCAACTGTTCAGGGCAAAATATGAGCATTTTGCAGTTGATTCTGGATTTTTATTTTTATTTGCAAATCAGAAAAAAATGAAGCGGCGAATCCGTTAACCAAGACATTAAATTGGTGTGGCCTTATCATCAAAAGAAAGCCACTTTTTTTAGATGCCTTTCAGATCCCACTACTGTTTCAGCAGCTATAAGATAATATTAAAAAGATATTTCAGAATCTGCAGTTGTTGAAATTGAAATTGTTTTCTCACTCGAAGAAGAGAATAAGGCAGTTGGGTGATATTGATGAAGGATGGCCATGATAGTAAAAACAAAGACAACTGGCAATATTCCAACCCCTGCTTTAGACTCATATATTGTGTAAAAGTCATTACATTGATTTGAAACCCCATTGCCAAAAGCAATCTACAGGTCGAGAGTTCAAGTTAGGGTCTAGATTCCCACCATAGGTGTTACGTTTAATCCCTGACGGGTTAAATTGGAGGTCAGAATAATTCGTACAGAATTTGCACCTTGATCCTGGTAAGGTTGACTTTAGACAGCACCTTTGCCCTCGAGCTCAGTGAGGTTATTGTGTGGTATTAGAAACATTGAAAGATAGATTTAAGTCCAACCACAGTGTATTAAACTCTAGCCACTGAAGAGAAGGAGAATACAAATTCTAGATGAAGTTAGTCCAAGTTTTGAAACAGTTAACTGACTATGGTCAACTTCAGTCATGTGCATGGCCTGTTGATATTACCAGTCATTTCAAATTTTGATACAAGTACATCTATTACTAAGCACCAAGGACAGACATGTATATCTGTGTGTGGATAGTGTTCAGCACCAAGGACAGACATGTATATCTGTGTGTGGATAGTGTTCAGCACCAAGGACAGACATGTATATCTGTATGTGGATAGTGTTCAGCACCAAGGACAGACATGTATATCTGTGTGTGGATAGTGTTCAGCACCAAGGACAGACATGTATATCTGTGTGTGGATAGTGTTCAGCACCAAGGACAGGCATGTATATCTGTGTGTGGATAGTGTTCAGCACCAAGGACAGGCATGTATATCTGTGTGTGGATAGTGTTCAGCACCAAGGACAGGCATGTGTATCTGTGTGGATAGTGTTCAGCACCAAGGACAGGCATGAAAATCTGTGTGGATAGTGTTCAGCACCAAGGACAGGCATGAAAATCTGTGTGTGGATAGTGTTCAGCACCAAGGACAGGCATGTCAATCTGTGTGTGGATAGTGTTCAGCACCAAGGACAAAGTTGTTAATGTAAAATCTTACAAAAATTTAATTTTCTAGCTTTTAAGTTAAATGTGTGTTCAGGCATGTCAAACTTTTTTTTTTTACTTTAACAGAGGTGAACAGTGTGTATTTTGCCCAAAATGTACTGTACATGTGCTGCTAACTGGCAGTCGCTAGCAATAGCCAAAATGACAGTGAAATGTTACAACCCGCACCACCCTCTATAGAATCATCTCTTTAGTTTACTGTTGCAATTCTATCCCTTTTCACCAGCACGTGAAATAAAACATACAGTGTCACTCAGTCCTGTAACACGAGTCAGTGAGATGAATGCTTTCATTGCGGGCCATAATTACTCCTCCAAATTCCCGTAGACAGCTTACACCCAGTAATACATGACATACGATCAGTCCTGGATTCTCGGACCCAATTCAAGGTGCTGTTGTCAAAACTTAGAGCCCTGTAGATTTATGGGTGTTACAAGGGCCAGGCTGTGAGGTACCATGATTGGAAACACCCATTAAATTTCCCAACACACCTGCTTCTGATGGACCCCTTGTTTGGCCCGGGATATTACAAACATAAATATTACTTAGGCTGCACCAATAAACATTGCAGGGTGGCACCTTAGGTGACAGGACACTGCCCACACATAGTCACAGCTCATCAGACATTTAGGCCACATCAATTTAGTTTCTTGGACTTATGAAAGATACTGATATGCTTTAACTGGAATAAGAGGATACTAAGGCCACACCAATCTAATTTGTTGTTTCTCGGATTTTTTTCCAAAAAAATATGAAGCGACAGGGCAAAATAAGGCCACACCAATTTAATTTGTTGGTTCTCGGATTCGCCTCTTCGTTTTTTTCTGATTTGCAAAAAAAAAATTTGATTCTGGTCCTGAATCAACTGAAAAATGCTCATGTGTTGCCCCCCAACAGTTGAGGAAAGTCCTTTTCTTCCTAGTTGTTATAGTTTTCCCATCTATCATTGCAGTGGTTTGATTAAAAGTTCACAATTCAATGTTTAGATTTTAACCCAGCCTTTTGTATTGACTTCATGGCTCATTTTGTAGATTTAAGCCTATGATAGGATGCCTAGACCTGTTTTTATTTTTATTTTTTTCGCCCTGTCGCTTCATATTTTTTCTGAAAAAATCCGAGAACCAACAAATTAAATTGGTGTGGCCTACAAGAAAAAAACAGGCCAAGGCACCCCATGATGGCCGGAAATGTTACAATATAAGCCATGAAGTGAACATACCAGGCTGGTTTAGAATTAAAACAATAGATTTTTAACTTTTAATGAAACAAAATTGCATTGTTACATTGAAAAACTTTAAGAACTAGGAAGAAAAGGACTTTCTTCAACCGTTGGGGCCAAAATATGTCTTTCATTGAGCATTTTACAGTTAATTTAGAACAACAAAAAATTTTTTTTTGCTAATCAGAAAAAAATGGACAGGGAGATCCGAGAAGCAACAAATTAAATTGGTGTGGCCTAAGTAAAAAATAAAGCCTGAGGATCAGGATGAAGAACTTGATGAACTCAGTTTTATGATATCTGCTTGCTACATGTATATTTTTACATTAAAATGTCTCGGAGTCAATGAAACAACTTGAAGCTAGTATGGCCTCACATACATGTATTTAGGTCAGTGAGGTTTGAATCAAATAACCAAAAGGTATTTCTTCAAGCCCTATTGATAGGGATTATTGTACAGGCTTATGTTCATTCAGCATTCACTACATTGCACTTTTGCATGCCCAATTCTAGCTTTCATGCTATTCATTGCCATTAAATCTTCAACTTTTGTGGCAAGCAATGAGTATACATTGTACTAGATGCAGTTATATTTATGTTATTGCAGCTATGGTTTCCTCATAGCCTACAATGTGCAATGATTTGTCGTTGGATAGAACACGGCACGAAAAACGGTATTTACGGATGCTTAAACTATACTTAAAGTCAACGTATATTCCGTCTTTACGCATCTATACACGTTTTATACGAGTACGTAAAGATCGACGTTACGTGGTCTTTCCGTAGGTGCGGATGGATCCTTATTTTCCGGTTTTCACGTAGCCTTTAAGCACTTAAAGATGTCTTAAATAATGATAAAGATAGTCTTAAATTGTATGTAAAGTTCACGTATTTTTATTATTTAAGCATTTTTAAGGATGATATACGTATGTGTAAAGATGACGGATAGGTGCGGATGGATCCTTATTTTCCGGTTTTCACGTAGCCTTTAAGCACTTAAAGATGTCTTAAATGATGATTAAAATATTTTCAAATTGTAAGTAAAGTTAACGTATTTTCATTCTTTAAGCATTTTTAAGGGTAATATACGTATGTGTAAAGTTGACGGAAAGGTGCGGATGGATCCTTATTTTCCGGTTTTCACGTAGCCTTTAAGCACTTAAAGATGTCTTAAATGATGATGAAAATATTTCTAAATTGTAAGTAAAGTTGACGTATTTTCATTCTTTAAGCATTTATTACGGCTCATATAAGTGTGTGTAAAGATGACGGATAGGTGCGGATGGATCCGTATTTTCCGGTTTTCACGTAGCCTTTCAGATGCTTAAAGTTGTCATAAATACTTTTTAAAATGCTCTTATAACGTATTTAAAGTTCACGTTTATTTATAATTGAAGCACTTTTACGGCCAATATACGTGTGTGTAAAGGTAATCATTTGTTGCGTATATGGTGCTTATTTTTTGGATTTTCAGTTGACTTTCAGCAGCTTAAACTGCGT